GGGGGGGGGGGGGGGGTTTGTTGTAGTTACGGTTAATCAGATATTGTCATCTTTGCGCTTTTCCTTCTAGGCTTCCCCTCAAGGTTTTAAAACGTGTCTACTAGGGAGTGGTTTCCACACTCTTATAAGGAATGTTTCGTTCCCTCTCTAACCAATGTAGGATCTCACAATGCACCTCCTTTGGGAGCCGAGCGTTCTCGTTGGCACACCGTCCGGTGTTGGCTCTGATACCATTTGTAGCAGCCCAAGACCACCGCTAATAGATATTGTCCGCTTTGACCCATTACGTATTGTCGTCAGTCTCACGGTTTTAAAACATGTCTACTAGGGAGAGGTTCCCACACCCTTATAAGGAATGTTTTGTTTCCCTCTCTAACCGATATGGGATCTCACATGTACATTGTCCTCTGTGTGTAGGAGAAAAGGGGGAATGTCGTTTCCATCACGGACAATGGGGAATCATTATTTGATAATTTAGAGTATGGAAACTGTCCTTGGACTTTCACACCCATGAGCGCCTGATAGCCCCCACTTCCAAACATGACCATTGAGGCAAACTCGTGTCTGCTCTGATGAAACGATCTGTAGTCTTTTTTTTTTGGTCATCTTCCCCTTTAATTAGCTTTTTCTTGTTTAAGTTCTTAAATGCCTTCAAGGGAAGGATACCATTTTAAACTAGTGAGTCTCACCCTGCCCTTTGGCTATATTCAATTAGTTTCATCCCCGTGTTAGAGTGAATTTTGCATGAAATTTATGGACAAGCACAAATCACGACGTCCTCTAGCAGCTAGATCTACTAGTTTAACTTTCCCGTGTGATATTATGATTTGATCTATAGATTCTGATTATATTAAGAAAATTTCCTTGCGTATCTCTGCCCCGAGATGTTCCATCAGTTTTTACCTCAGATTATTGCTGCTTATATATATTACTGAGAATGGCATGGCATACTTAAGTATAGGAATCAGTTTTGTTTTTCCGCCTTATAATGGCTCTGCATCAACTGAACTGTTCTATTGTCTTGTTCTCTAGATCCTTCATTGAGGACATTTTCCTTTTGGCCTGCAGCAGAGGTACTACTGAGTTTTATGTCATCTCCCTGATACAGTGATTAGCATAAAATGAGCAAATTAAAAGTAGTTTTCATTGAACTTTGCAGGCTACCTCTGAAAATCCAGACAGTGGGAGCTCTACTTTCTCACATTCAGACAGTAGTGACGAGCCTACGGTCAAGTTACGCTCAGCCTCTAATTGGAACTTCACGAGTCGTCGCTCTTTCATGTCCAAACCTATTCATCCTCTGGTCATTCCTATGCAAAACTCGCCTGGAGAAGCTTTTGAATCTACCAATTTAGGGTTCCTTGAGTTTGATTCTCCTACTCCCCAAAGAGACACCCAACAATGGAGCAGTGCAAGTAGTAGCATTGATTTTGCTGATGTGTCTGAGCCACTTGAATCAGACATCTATTTTAGATCATCATGTAAATCTGATGGTTTCAGATGTGGTTTATGTGAAAGATTTCTTTCACAAAGATCGCCATGGAGTTCACGTCGCATCGTGAGAAGTGCTGATATGCCAGTTGCTGGCGTTCTTTCATGTCGACATGTTTTTCATGCTGAATGCTTGGATCAAACTACCCCAAAGATACGTAAAAGTGACCCTCCTTGCCCACTTTGTTTGAAACATGAGGATGACCATTCGCCCGAGCAACGAGCAAATTCTAGATTGAGGAATGCAAATTCCTTACCAAGGCCTAGACCCTCAACCAGTGAAGACGGTCCACCAAGGCCATGGGGTTGTGCTCAGGTAGGGGACTGTGTTGAAGGTGCCTTACATGCACCTCCACGAAATTCGATGCTTTTCGTTAACCGAAATCGCGTAAAGAACCTTTCTTTCAAGGGAAATTCAAGCAAAGAATTTCCAGGAAAGTTGAGAAAAAGTGGCTCATACTCTTCACGATTGGTGAGTGGAAGACCATTTGATCAAGAATTTGTTGGCTGTTCAAGAACTTCAGCTGGACCCAGCATGAAACGATGATTGAAATATGTAGATAGCCATGAAAATAGACGTTTCTAAGAACGTTTCTTTTCGAATCAGCTTCCCCTGTATTTTTGCTTGTTCATTCCAAATTCTTCAGCTGGCAACATCTTAGCTTCTTTAGAGTATTAGATTTATCTATTGATGTATAGTTGATTTGTGGTATTTCATGATGAACATAAACTAAAAAATTAGGTTTTTTTTTTTTTTTTTTTTTTTTTTTTTTTTTTTTTTTTTTTTTTTTTTTTTTTTTTTTTTTTTTTTT